CCCCCTGCGCGTTGCTGTTCTCATTGAAACAAGTCGCAGCTGTCTTACTCACAGCCCTGGAGCCTGAAGAGCGATATCCCACGTATCCTGTGGCTACGTGCGAGATAGATGTCACCATTGCATCGCGCCTCCGATGGTGATGGATACATACCATGGCGCACAAAAACAAAAGAAGCACGCCGCCCATCGAAGTCCACCCACTGCCGGAAGATACCTGCCAGGCCATCATGTGTCCCTCGTCATCTAAGTCCCTCTCTCGTTCATATTCACGTGGCGATCGTCGTTCCTCTTTGTCTGGTACGGCCCTTTCCTCAAAAGCCACGCCACTCGGGAGCGCGTGGTAGCTGTGGACGTGACCCTGCACATCGTATACCAATGCTTGCCTCAATGTCGGTGAGAGTGCGTCGTGCAAGTGATCGGTGAGGTGACCGTACGATGCAGATATTTGCGCTCTGATCTTGTTGCTTTGCGCTTGACCTTCCGGGGCTTTGACGTCTACGCCGATGCTGACGCCGTGCATGGGGTGGAGGGGAGACTTGAAAAGTCGCAGACCAGGGAATCCTTGTTGCTCCCTTTCCCTTTTCTGGTGTTTTTGTTGCAATTGTCGCTGAAAGCGCTGTCTTATCGTACCCATAGACAAATCGTGCTGAGCCTTACCCCTTCCTGGCATGGCGTCACCATCTTCAACCTCCTCCTGCTCCTCCTCCTCTACCTCCAACCTGTATCCGTTCACATGAAGCAGCTGTATCTCACTCGCGTCTACATCCAACCAGCTGCCCAGTGCTCGGCGCAAGTCAAAGCTGAGAGCCGGATCCTCAAAATCTTTTAGTTCTAGACCTCGAAGGATCAGCCGCAGGGACACTTTATACCGCACGGCGTCTCCAGCAGACATGGCCTCCTCTAGGGAAACGCCACATTGTGTGTGGTGGCATTTCGCGCCAAGGCAGACTTTTTGAGCTTCGTGAAGTGCTTGTGGTGGGCACTTGATCGACCGGTTGCTAAAAATGATGTCGAAGTGCTCACAAAGAGCTTCCGATCGACCCAATCCTGCAGTAGCAGAGGTTGCCATATCACCGAAAGCGGCCGAAGTGGCTTTGTCTTTTGCGCTGTTTTCATTCTGTCCATGGGGTTGACGAGATTTTGATTCTGTTCGAGCAAGCATAGCCGCCGCGTTTTCGAAGCCGTCTTTGTAACAGACGTGCAACGTCTCTTTTACTGGCATTGTAAGCATTTCTGGGAGATCTTGAGCTGGCTCATTCTCTGCAATGTTCGAGGTCCGAAAAGCATGAGCTTTCATACTAGAGCCGTTGTCACCAAACTCAATAAATTTCTGATTGTCTGCCTTCTTCAAATACAAGACTGACTCCTCTGTGAGCGCTCGCCCATCTCCTGTGGCCACAAGGGCATATAGCTGCTCTTCTGCTTCCGAGAGCTCTCCAGCCGTTACCACCAATGTGTAGACGCCCCCCGGTAGGGGCTCCACGACCACTATCTTTTCCACGTTATTTTTGCGGTCAGGCCCTGGCAAGCCATTGGGATAGAAGAGGACGCCCGAGGGGTCGAGCACGTGAAGGTCCAGGTCGTGAAGCAGTTGTTTTTGGGCAGTGAAGGAGTTTGGCGGGTCGATCCAGCACAGGGTCACTTGCAGGGGCACAGACGAGGCATTGGACGCAGCAGCGATTTGAAAGTAGTAGGTCCGAGATTCTCCGGATGCCAGTGATTGTTTGTCTGCAAAGAACAAGGAGAAGTGTCCGTAAAAATCCAAGACGGCGTCGATCTTAATCCGCCCGTGTCCTTGCGCCAGGTCAGGAGGGTGGTACAGCGCCACGAGCTCATCCTCTAGCCGAAGAGCTTTGACGGGCACTGCAGAGTTCACAAACAGAGCCTTCAGAAGAGGTGCCGATGGCTGGATCACGTCTTCGCACTGGTAGGGTGGGCCACACTCTCCTCGTGCCCGCAAGGCGGCATAGTAGTGCCCCTCCTTGAAATACTGACGGATGAGAGCAGCTGCCCCAGCCACCACGGGGGCCGCCATCGAGGTTCCTGCCATGGCTACATAGCTACAGGTGCCTCCATTGTTATAACCAGCAGAGCGCGCCGAGTAAATGTAGGAGCCAGGGGAAACGATGTCTGGCTTGAGGCGACCGTCCTTGGTAGGACCTCGGGAGGAGAACTTGGCGATGTAATCCCGGTCTTGGCTCTGACGCTCCGGGCCGCTCTCAGTCGCTCCCACGGTGAGTACATTTTTAGTATTGCCGGGTGAACCGATCGAGTGAAACCCATCTTCGCCGTAATTTCCGGCAGCGTATATGATAAGGAAGTCCTGGTGCTCGTAGGCATATTGGTCAATTTTCATGTCGTCAAACAAGTATTCTCCCACATTGATTCCCCATGAATTTGAGTGGATCCGAGCTCCAGCCTCGTAAGCCGGGGGAAAGAGCATGCGGTGAAAGTCAGAGGGTGTAGAAAGGTTCCCGTGCTCGTCGGCGATATCAAAGAAAGCGATTTTCGCCTCCCGCGCCATCCCTTGATTTGCCATCAGGGCTTCCTCCGGATTGGGATTGCAGGCCAAGCCGACGCAATCCCCGCCGTCGCATCCGTACAGTGGACAGGCAAACCAGGCATCGCAATGCCCATCTTGCAGCCAGTCTTGGCAGGAGACATAGCCGTAATCTTTCAGCTGGCAAGTGGGGGCGCTCAGGCACATTCCCGTGCATGCGAGGGTCTCTCCCTCTGCGCAGAAGTGACCGCGTCGCCCTTCATTTCTCGGCTCAACAACACCGGCCAATGAGCCTGAGACGTGTGTTCCGTGGCCCTCCACTAGATCCCCACCGTCCACGAAGCTCACATACTGCACAACCTTCCGCTGCGTCATGTCCGTGAAAGGCGCCTCCCACGAGCTTCTCGCGACCTGGCCCAATGCGTTGTCGTAGAAGAAGCAAGACTCGTCATCGAGCCCCGTGTCAGCCACGCCAATAAGCTCGCCTTTCCCTGTGAGCCCAAGGTCCCACAATGGCCGCGCATGCGTGGCTTCGTCGCCGCTCTGGATGATCCAAGTTGCCTGATCATTCTGAAGCGCATACCTGGCCCGGGTTTGGATGGAGAGGATGTCTGGATGCGAGGCGATGAATGCCACGAGCCCTTCCAAGCACGCTTGTCTGTCTGCTTCGTCCTCGGCACCCTCGGCGGGGGGCATGCCAGCCAGGAGGCCCCCAAGGACCAGGTGCGTGGGAGTTTCGTCGCGGAAGTGGACAGCATCAAAATTGCAATATTTCTCTGTCTCGTGCAGGCGCTGTAGACGGGCCAAGACAGCATCCCATGTACGAACGCTTGATGAATCGTAAGAGGATGTGTCTGGGTCGACTGCGGAACGTGAGGCGGGGGGCCCGGGATGACTATTTTCTCCACCTACAGGCCCGCTTGGGTTGAGACTCATCGCCGTCCAGAAATGCCTATGGAATCCATCTGTGGGCAAATGTTTTAATTTCGGAAGGATCTTCCGCCACCGGGACATAATAAAGCGTAGGTGTTGGCTCATTTTGGCCGTCGGCGCAAAAGTCAAAATCAACTCGGGCCCCACTTCTGGCAAGGTCCTGGGGCCTGTTGATATTGCGGAGGACTCCGCACACAGATTATGCGAAGTTTCGGTTGATGTTCTGGAGTATTGGGATCGTCCCTGACTCCTTCCTTTGGCACAATCGTTTGAGCGGTCAGGACGTGGGGTCATGTAGGGGCCAAGGAGTCCCGGACTGATCTTCAGCTTGGCAGGCAGTGGCTCCACGTGACTGACTAATGGGTGCGGTTGCCGTAGCAAATACGTGCAGTAATCTAAATGAGGTGAAGGAATACTCCAGTGGTTAAAGAGCGAAAAATATTTTTAAAGCGTCATTCAGAAAGTGTGTTCGCCCTTCACGTACCGTAGGAAGCGTGGACCACGAAGCATATAGCGTCACTTAGGCGGTCGCTGTGCACAGTTTGACAGCATCCTTCTTCCAAATCTCTGCGCAAAGAAATCAAAGCATCTCGGCCGTTTTTATAGGGGCTACAGATTATGAAAGGAGCGGCTTCGCTGGACCTTCCCTGCAGCAACGCCCATTGAGTGTCGAGGGCGTCACGGAATAATGTATCGTCGTGATGAAACTCCTCAGCAGCAGCACTCTGCAAGATACGGCCAAAGAAATCCAGAGTAATACGATTGTGTGGCTGAAAATCATTCAATGAGTCTTTCAGGTCTCCGTCTACAGACGAAAGATGAAAATGTCGCCGACTCAGAGGTGACGACTGAAAGCCGACACCAGATTCAAGATTCTGTTTTCCTGCTTTGAAGAAGCTACCGCCCAGTAATTTTGCCAAGCGAGATTGCGGCTCATTTTTATTCACTGCTTTTCCAGCATAAATACTAGATGTGCCAGATTGAAGGAAGGCATTGCGGGGCAAAAAACTCTTCGCAGAAGGCACTGAAATGACACATAGAAGGACAAGGCAGGAGTAGAAGACCCAAGCCATTCTAGGATGAAGGACTAGGGCCACAAATCAAATCATACTACTTGAGGGATGAAAATATGGTAAAGAATGTGGAGGAAATCTTTTAGTCTGCAACATTTACCTTGACGGATCGTGCACAGCCCTTCAGAAGCTCGTAAGTGCGGGGGCGGCCCATATCGAGTAACGGACACGTGCTTAACGGCTGAGGACACAAACGTGGGAGCAAAGAAGCAGTGTCCTCGGGACTCCACATACCTCTTGTTCACGGTGAAGCGCTTGCGGCGACTGAATCACTTCTCTCATCGAAACCATTCTATGTCTAATATACAGGACGAACGGTCGATTGTCATTTGCACACATACCTATCATGCCCGGTACCTCCTATCCTACGACGCAACGCCGGTACTTGAATGATACCTATCTCTACGACATATCTTCCACAATTTTAGCTGTGGAGCCCATGCCCCCGGACACCTCAGCTGGCAGCAACAAAATGCCATATTTTGGCCTTGTGATAGCCGAAACAGTTTTTCATCCTCAAGGGGGTGGTCAACCATCAGATGTCGGGCGTGTGGTTGGGGAAAATGGCGTGACCTTTTTCGTCGATAACGTGCGTGTGGGAGAGAACGCGATTATTTATCACTACGGCACTTTTCAACATGAAATGAGCGAGAATGAAGATGGCGCGCGCTGTATTCCATTCAGATCTGGCGAGAAAGTGAAGCTAGAGATTGATGCTGCCCGGCGAAGGCTTCACGCGCGCCTCCATTCGGCAGGGCATGCTTTAGACGTGGCTGTGCTCCGGCTGGGCTTGGAATTACGGCCCACAAAGGGATATCATTTCGAGGATCATCCATTTGTGGAGTATTTAGGAAGGTTGCCTGCTGATAAAGGGTCATCAGAAAGACTTATCGAGGCTTTGACCTTGAAAATACAAGAACTCATCGAGGAAGACATTGCGACTGAACTGTACTCCACTTCCAAGGCCGAAGCGGCGAGTATCCTGTCAGGTGGAGTGAAGGACGTGGCTCATTTCCCTGAAGGGGCACAAGTGCGTCTGGTCTCTGTGGGTGGGAATATATGCCCATGTGGAGGGACACATGTAAAGAGCACTAAGGAGCTAAGAGGAGTGGAGATAACCAGGATCAAAACCAAGAAAAATGTCACAAAGATTAGCTATAGGATAAGTAAAGAGGGAAAAGAGAGACAGATATCATAATCCTTCGTGATGTAAACGGTGGCAGTTGGTGCCCGCTTATGACATTGAACCCTGGGGGAAATGAAGAAGGGTAAGTCGCTGATGAACCTAATTAGAAGAGATGCACAGAAAAGCGTAAAATTAAGAAGATTCAAGGTTATTCCCAGCATCTCTCTTTGACATGTTCATCTCCTTTTGATATTGGAATGCATTTGGGTCTCTTTGAAGATCTAATTCGAAGTTTGACAGCTTCCCATAGCACACTGTGCAGAACCATACGATCCCAATCAACGGTATCTGTATAATGGATAGGTGGAGTAAGCCCCAAAGAGTTCATGCTACGACTTTCGTTTGGACCGCTCATCCACTGCTTGCACAGTTCTCGCACCGACCTCCACGAAAGCGAAGCAGCGCTACTATCCTCCCTGTCCCACGAATTTCGTGTCAAGCCCTTCATTCTCAGCATCTTTCTCCGTATGCAGACAATATTTACAACGCCTACGCCACCATCTGGCTGTCCAGCATTCCCACTGTATCCTCCACCTCGTCCCTCCCTTCACAATACTTCACGTAGTGTCGCCCTCGCCTGAACCTGTACGTGCGTCTTTGACCTAGCTACCGCTTCTGCACACTTGACTGATTTTTGACTGCATATAGATACCTCCTCAATATTTCATCATCTTTTCCTCGTCAATTTTTTTTTTAAAAATTCGTCTCAGCCCAACGTTCATCACTTCTTCCTAAGTATGTCATAAAATGGCATGCCTTAACACGCATCGTCTTTTCATGTGCCTTCCTTCCTCCTGAGGCTTCAATTCCTCAGTGTTTATTCGATTTACAACGTTCCTCTTCCGATTGAAATCAAATCATCTTCATCTCTGGTTCGCTCTATCTCGGCTTCTCTGTACACGCACGTACATTCTCACACCTCGAGCACCAAAAAAATCTCATCAATGCGCAAAACACAAAAAAACTTTCAGCCCCATAACGTCTCTTGAGACTTATCTTTCACTTCACCTCCTACATGGGGCCCTTGCCGAGCTCAGGGGACTGACAGTAATTATACAGAGCCGTATTGTTGCTCTTCAACTAGGCTTGAGCCGGCGGGGAGTATATTACGTCGCTCACTTCTTCCACGGCTGCCTGAATTCTCGTATTATATCCACATTTCCACCTTTATGATGCCTTTATACCAACCAAGGCTCCAAGGGCACTGACTCCAGTGGCTGCCGCTTGCGATGGGCCGCTCGTGGAGTAGCTCTGTGGACGAGCAGGTTCCGCGTTCTGGCCCTGGCTCCAATCCCAGCCTCCCGCAGACTGCACAGTCATGTCGCTCTCGGGGCCCGCTGACCCGAAAATGTCGTCGATCGACGTGTCCAGGTCCGCGAGAGCCTCTAAGTCCTCTGTCGAACCCCACCCACGCCAAAGCTCCGAGCTCATGGAGGAGCAGCGGTTTATTTTCAGAAGGGGAAGAGGGGGCGAGCTTGGAGCGCGGGAGGTGGGCGACATCGACACAGACGAGGTAGTCGTAGAGGGAGAGGAAAGCTCCGTGGTCCCTACCAAGTCCGAACCAACGGTCTCTGATCCCAGATTCGTTCCGCAGGAAGAAAGTGGGCGAAAGTCCATCTTGGCAGGAAGAAGCACGGCGGGATGGGGCGACGTCTGGGCTGTTGTCTGAGAATTACTGCCGCTGTTAAGCCACTGGGAGAAAGAAGACGCGGAGAATGTGCGAGGCAATGCACTCCCTGAAAGAAGTTTGTTCTTGTCACTTTCACCAGTGTTGTTGCTGGTCACGTTTGCGCCGTTGATAGACCCGTGGTATAGCGTGGCAGTAACTTTAATGTCCTCGTCGCCTTCGATCATCTTGTTGCCGGCTGCACGGGCGCTGCAGCTCTTGGACATCTTCATGGCGTCCGCCCCGACAGGGTCAGAGAGAGGAGGCATGAAGAACCGTACTGGGCCGACTGACTGGACCCCCCCCGAGGAGTGACGGGGAGGTAAGCCGACTTCCGCCCGTGCGGCCTGGTGCTGGGCGGAAGGCGAGGGGGAGCGGGAGGTAAGCTTCTGTCCGTTCAAGACATAACCCTTGCCTTGCCTGCCGGAGGAGTTAGAGGCCGCAAAGGCGTTGGGCAGCCGCACTAAGGGCTGATGGTTATGGGGGAGAAATGCGTGCTCCACAGCGCCCTTGCTCGTCGCGCTGCTGCTGCTCATGTAGCTCCCCTCATCCGAAAGAAGAGAAAGGCCGCTCTCATAGGAAGAGGTCAGTGTGAGGGATGGCGCAGGGTCCGCAAAATCGAAACCCTCCATTGCGCTCTCGGACCCACCGTCCAAGTTCTCAGCGCCTCCTGGAAGTGCATTGTACTGGTAATGGCGAGGACCGACGGGGAAGGAACTCATACTGCCCTCCGAAGCATACTCGCCCGGGCCACAGGAGAGGCCGCCCGCCCCGAAAGCCGATCCATCGACGCAGTCGCTGCCATCCTGGTTCGAGATTCCGGTCGAAGCAGAGGAAAAGGAGCATTCAGAGCCGGCAGAGGACGTCAAAGAAGCCTGCGAGACATTCGAGGCGCTTGACTCGGAGCGATCGCGTCGCCGTCGCGGCGCTCGGCCACCTTTTCGGCTTCGGCGGTTGGCCTTCTTCACGGATATCCCTGCATTTGTTTCGCTCACATCCATAAAGGCACTCCTCTCAGCCAATGACACATCAGGCATGCTTGTAGGGGAGGAGTTCTGGACGTCTTTGTAGTAGAGGGGCAGAAACTTGGCAGTGGCGGTGGCCCCCTGCCCGGGCATACGGCGGATGTGGTTCACCAGCTCCGGGCGGTCTCGGCGGAACTGAGGGTGAAAGTACGCGCCAGTGTCCGTGCCTTTAGTTATACGTCTGAAGCCGTACAAATTGAGTTGACGCTGAAAACTGGTCAATTTATTGTCTGGGGTTGGTACAACGAGGAGAGGTTCATAATGAGTGGTCCAAGGTGCAATTTTTTTAAAGTCACAGGCTACACTTAAATCAAGACAAATCAAAACACATCACCATTCAATATTTGCAGCCCCTTCCATATTTGCCTAATACATACGTCGAAAGTATTTAGGCAAGAGCCTATAGGTGAGCGCCTCGTTGTCGCAGATGAAGAAGGAAAGACCATGCATTGACCACGCTATCACGTGCGACTCGTGCTGTAGCATCTCCGCCAATTTTCGGGGGAAAGTTGTGGCATTGCCATCGGTGGCAACACTGCTACAAGTACTACTTGTACAGCTCACATTGGTGATGTTGGAGCTGTTAAACTCTGAGGTAGGCAGCACAACGGGCATGTCCATCTTCTTGTCAGAAATTGACACCAAACCCTGCGCATTACTGCCCGTGCTACTCATCGAGTTGGAGCGGCTCCGTCGGCCAGCTCGCGTCATATTGCTTGATGAAGTCAATAAGGATTGCTCAAAAGCGAGGAAGCGCGCCAGTGCTCTCTGGAGCGGCTCTGTCGGGCAAATACAAGAACACCTTGGAGACCAGATCCGGCAGGTTCACGGTGCGAGAAATCACTAGTGAAGTACAATATATGAGGATATAGAAATGAGACAAGATTATTTCATATGGTGCCATTAAAAGTCCTTAGTGCTGCGGCGTCAAACTCAACCTAGCTCACAGAGAAGGGGGGCAAGTTGAATTACTTTCCGCAGGCAATTACCAGGAAGAGGATAATGCCTATGCTACAGGACAAGAAAGACGGTCATAAAGCGTGTAGCATAATGAGGCAGCGTGCTTATTGCGCATTTTCCTCAGCAATAGTCTCAACGCCGCACCACGAAATATGTTTGCCCGGATAAGGAGGGTTGGCGGCTTTCCACGATCTTTTCTCTGAGTCGTGTAGACCCACATCTACTACCTTATTCCGCACCATCCACGCAAAAGAAAAGTTCCGAGTATTCAGCCAGGACACTTTTTGTTAACATAGCAGGATCGGACGCAACTGAGTGAGAGGGCCACATCACACCCCAAAGTCGCGGTGTCGCTCAGACAACGAGGCAAGTTGCCTGGACATCTGCCACCTGCATGACAGGGACCACCACCACTTCGAGCGATTTTCCACCCACAAGCATTTCTCTCTCTACTACATTGATCCAAGCCATGGCACTTTACGCTGCGTGAAATTGCTCGAGGAAAGCAATTTAAACAAACGCTGTCAGGATGGCAGAGCCACTCTCAAAATACCACCATATGGCATTTCGGCCTCTCCAAGGTATTAATGCGCTGTGTCTCGTATAAACTCCGATGGCTCCAATGAAAAATCAGAAACTTTGTTCAAGTTATATTTTTTTTCGACCGTCTACTTGTTAGAGAATACATGATAGTGTACTTGGATACGTGAAACATAGAGGCATATGCGCGCGGTGAATTTTTGCTTGTGTCACATTGGGACGCGGTGTCCGTCGGGGGGAAAGGGGTTGAACCAGCTGCTACTCGGGAAATATTGAAATTTCTGCGGCGGCTCGTACGCTGATCTTGCAGATCCGGCGCCAAGTTCAACGCCTCTTTCTCCAGCCTCCAATCCTGTCTGCGATGCGTCTTTGCGCGACAAATCGCGCATACGGCCAGAATCTATCGTTGGTCTGAGATTAAAATGTACTTGTAAATTTTTCAAACGTCCGTGGTGCTGTTTCGGAGGGCAAGGCTGTTTTTCCCAGACGACGCACGAAAGCGATACGCGTTTTTTGGGTTGGGCCGTATTTATGTGGAATTTATGAATACTAGTATCTAGCTAATTATATTTGCGCCCCAGTCATGTGCCTAGACCATGGGCTTTATGAATTGTTATACATCCTCATGTATTTCTTCCGGCTCATCAGGAAAAGAAATTCCGCACAATGTTGATAAAGTTGGGCTTGATGTCGACTCGCCAACCAGATGGGAAATACGACCGACAGAGACAAACGCGAATGAGATGTACAGGGGCAGAGCTAAAGGCAATTGAAAGGGGCTGCACGCCACTAGTAATTAAATTGTCCACAGATACTTTGACGTGGCCGAGTAAAGAAGAAGTGCTCCATAGCATATGATCACTCACACGCGTACGA